CCACCAACTTATATACTATACCACCAACACATATACCACCAACACATATACCACCAACACATATACCCCAACACATATACTATACCCCCAACACATATACTATACCACCAACACATACACACGCCAACATATACCACCAACACATATACCATTAACACATATACCCCCAACACATATACTATACCACCAACACAATACACCGCCAACACATATACCACACCAACACATATATCATCAACACATATACCACCAACACATATACCCACAACACATATACTATACCACCAACACATATACCCTAACTCATATACTATACCACCAACACATACACCGCCAACACATATACTATACACCAAACACATATACCCCAACACATATACTATACCACCAACACATACACCGCCAACACATATACCACCAACACTTATACCATCAACACATATACTATACCACCAACACATATATACCACCAACACATATACCACCAACACATATACCACCAACACATATGCCACTAACACATACACCACCAACAATATACTATAACACCAACACATATACCACCAACACATATACCACCAACACATATACCACCAACACATATACCACCAACACATATACCACCAACACATATACCAATCACATATACTACCAACACATAAATACCACCATCACATATACTATACCACCAACACATATACCACCAACACATACACCACCAACACATATACCACCAGCACATATACTATACCACCAACACATATACTATACCACCAACACATATACCAACAACACATACACCACCAACACATATACCACCCAGCACATATATTATACCACCAACACATATACCACCAACACATATACCACCAACACATATACCACCAGCACATATACTATACCATCAACACATATACCACCAACACATACACCAATTACATATACCACCAACACATACACCACCAACACATATACCACCAATATATACCCCACCAACACATATACTATACCACCAACACATACACCACCAACACATACACCACCAACACATACACCACCAACACATATACCACCAAATACATATACCATTTACACATATACCACCAATACATATACCACCAACAAATACACCACCAACATACACCACCAACACATATACCACCAACACATATACAAATACATATACCACCAACACATACACCAACAACACATATACCACCAACACATATACCACCAACACATATACCACCAATACACATATACCACCAACACATACATCACCAACACATATACCACCAACACATATACCACCAACACATATACCACCAATACATACCACCAACACATACACCACCAACACATACATCACCAACACATATACCACCAACACATACATCACCACAACACATATACCACCAACACATATACCACCAACACATACACCACCAACACATATACCACCAACACATATACCACCAACACATATACCACCAACACATATACCACCAACACATATACTATACCACCAACACATATACCACCAACACCAACACATATCCACTACACATACACCACCAACACATATACCACCAACACATACACCACCAACACATATACCACCAACACATATACCACCAACACATACTCACCAACACATATACCACCAACACATATACCACCAATACATATACCACCAACACATACACCACCAACACATATACCACCAAACACATATACCACCAACACATATACCACCAACACATATATACCCACCGACACATACACCACCAACACATATTACCACGAACACATATACCACCAACACATATACCACCAATATATATACCACCAACACATACACCACCAACACATATACCACCAACACATATACCACCAACACATATACTATACCACCAACATACACCACCAACACATACACCACCAATACATATACACCAAACATATACCACCAACACATATACCATTTACACATATACCACCTACATATACCACCAACACATACACCACCAACACATACACCACCAACACATATACCACCAACACATATACCACCAATACATATACCACCAACACATATACCACCACAAATACATATACCACCAACACATATACCACCAACACATATACCAATCAACACATATACCACACACATACACCACCAACACATATACCACCAACACATATACCACCAACACATATACCACCAATACATATACCACCAACATATACCACCAACACATACACCACCAACACATATACACCACCAACACATATACCAATAACATATACACCAACACATATACCACCAACACATATACCAACATATATACCACCAACACATATACCACCAACACATATACCATTTACACATATACCACCAACACATATACCACCAATACATATACCACCAACACATACACCACCAACACATATACCACCAACACATACACCACCAACACATATACCACCATCACATACACCACCAACATATATGCCACCAACACATACTCCACCAACACATATTCCACCATCACATACACCTCCAACACATATACCACCAAGACATACACCACCAACACATATACCACCAATACATATACCACCAACACATACACCACCAACACATATACCACCAACACATATACCACCAACACATATACCACCAACACATATACCACCAACACATATACCACCAACACATACACCACCAACACATACACCACCAACACATACACCACCAACACATATACCACCAATACATACACCACCAACACATACACCACCATATACCACCAATACATATACCACCAACACATATACCACCAACACATATACCATTTACACATATACCACCAACACATATACCACCAATACATATACCACCAACACATACAGCACCAACACATACACCGCCAACACATATACCACCAATACATATACCACCAACACATACACCACCAACACATATACCACCAACACATATACCACCAACACATATACCACCAACACATACACCACCAACACATACACCACCAACACATATACCACCAACACATACACCACCAACACATACACCACCAACACATATACCACCAACACATACACCACCTAAACCTATACCTCCAACACATACACCACCAACACATATACCACCAACACATACACCACCTAAACATATACCTCCAACACATAATGTATATCATAAACATGTGACACATCCTTTTTGAAGCTCGTTAGTGTTATGACACATACACATACCAGTTCAAATTATTAGTACAGCTGAGACCATTTCATTCTTTAAGGGTGAGTGTATACATCATAACACCATGCGTCACTGTCATGAGTGAAACACATGACATAGTCAGTGTTCTCGCGGACTTGCTCCCAAATTAATGCGCTTGTTGAGTGACTCATACATGTCCGTACTTTAATAATACACGTGTCCATATACATGACTGAGACCTCACGTGGTCAACACTGATGTACACATTCAATAGTCACTCAGTGCGCGCGCACGCTTGTGCATGTGTGTGTGTGTTTTTGGGGGGGGGAATGAAAACTTTTTCGGCATGAGTCTGTGTGTGTGTAAATTAGTAAATGTAGAGAAAATGCTCGGTTATCTGTGTGTGTATGTACAGTGCACATTATACTAAGGTTGAGTCTGCAATTCCTTATATATATTTATATGAAAACTTACAGATAACGACAATGCTTCTTATCGTATATATATATATATATATATATATATACGATAAGAAGCATATATATATGTGTGTGTGTGTGTGTGTGTGTGTGTGTGTGCGTGCTCTTAGTTAATTAAGGTTCATCACGGTTAATCAACAGCATTTGTTGTTGGGTAACTTTAGATGTAGCCTGGTGCCGGGTACGGTAATTTGCTGCTAATCATTATATGCTACCAGTATAACCCACCCGTGTTGGTAAATTACTATTATTTATTGTAAACTACTAGTGAAGCTTAGTGTTTTCATTCTTTACCACTACTATAACCCAACTGTGAAGGTTTATTATCGTAAATTTGAACCAAGGGATTTAGGAACTACATCTGGAACATATTGGAGAATAACCGCAGATAAGGAATAGTCGGCAACAAAGACCAACAACAAACTAAGAGCATTATAGGTAGAGGGAGGATGGAAGAGCAGCTGAACAATATTCCACGATTAACACACTCCAACAAACGCTGTATTGTTACCAATTACCTGAAAAGCGATGACAAACTCGTTTATAATTAATTTATTATTGTTGACTGCATTTAATATCGTAGTCATATTCATGGGATTTGTGTTAAGGGAAAATGGAATTCATAATTAAGGATGTCTCGTATTTCCATAATAATTAGTGAATCAGATTGGATGAGGAGTGGTAGGATGAGTGTGATGAGCTTGTGGTGGCGGGAAGAATGATGTGTAACTAGGAGCTGATATAAGGGGCTGCTTATAGGGAAGTAAAGGTATGAACAAACCGATGGTAAAGCCTTATTAACAACCTAGATTTGGGCCCAATATCGTAACGCAACTTACTCTCTCCAGTTCTTTCTCCACGTCCCTGTCTTCCTTAATGGGTGAGACTGAGGAGAATATCTTTGGGTCCGACATTTGGCGTCGGTGTCCCCTGCGGCGGTGGTTCCTAGGGGAAGAGTTGGCCGACCCTGTGGTATTGCTCGTGCCAGAAGTCATGCCCAGACGACGTTGTATTTCCATTCTAAAAATCGAAACAAAATAACACATGCATATTATATGGTACACACTGCCGTCTCTGGAAGCCAGGCTATAACACTAATTTGCTGTAATTTGAAATTTACTCAATTCTGAGCAGTATGAGAAGCACACAGACAAGTATTTCCTGATTCGGCATTGTGCTGAAGGTCGACTCGCACGCTGAAAATAATTATTGCCAGGATGAAATTAGTATGAAACATATTATATTCTTTGGTAGATCTTAACTTTTTCATAATGGAGTTTATCATGTTCTTTCTTAAATGTTTCAGGTGCGTGCCAACCTCCGAGTTTAGCTTGCAAGCATGACTGACAGGGGACCAAGCATGCTTCATCAGAGTAGTCTCCAAGCCTCACTTCGTCTTGCTAGTCGAGTTATAGCAGGTGATGGAGGCTGGTAATGAAACAGCTTGGAGGGGAGGTTCATAAGCGTGGCAATTCTAAGCAGGGGCAAAGGACCAGTTCAGTCGCTCTGTGTTGTTTACTTGGCCCTTCCGAACTAAAGCCAAATGTTTTTGTACGGATGCTTTACAGTACTGTATATATATATATATATATATATATATATATATATATATATATATATATATATATATATATATATATATATATATATATATATATATATATATATATATATATATATATATATATATATAAAGGTAAGGCAAACTATTCTTAAGAAGAAAATGGGCAACCAAACTGGTCATTTCCCGGGCAGGGTTAAACAAACCTCTGCTTGAGCGATAGCGATCCTGAGTAGCTAGAGGAGGCGAGGCGGTCAAGTTCCCGACGCAGGCGGCCGTCCCTTTCCTTGTCCTTCTCGGTGAGGGCACGGCGTCGGTCCTCGTGCAGCCGCAGCAGCTCCGCCTCCAGCATTGCTCGTCGATCAGTGGTAGTCGATTTGAGCTCCTCCTGCAGTTGGTCCTTCAGGTTCTGCATGTATTCAGGGAGCTGGCGGGACCGATACAAATGGCCTGAGCATTCCAGCATGCAAGTCCAGATGTTTTACACTACTAAACAAATCTCAACCCTCTAGTTATCAAGTAACAAAATCCCTCGTTTTAACATGCTAAAATATGTCCTGTATTCATTATTTTGAAAGACAGTTTATAGACGTTTAACGTGCACACTGCAAAGCCAAATAAAAGAAAATCTAAGACAAAATGGTATATGTTGTATTGAGGGTCGGTAAAAAGAGCCGATCTAGTCTACATCAAACCACCAGGGTAGGTGGAGTCCCTCCAAGCATATGACTGGAAAAGGGGGCTTTAAAACAACCTAACTTCTGGCACGAACTTGGCAAGCTCAAAATCCTTATAGAGACACTATGTAATAACCAATGTCCTTACCTCAACCTTAGTCGACTTTTCACATATCTGTTCAAAGTATATTCCCTGGCCTTTGTGTGGAAGACATGCGTCATGATCTATGTAGATCCTTCGAATTAAATTACTGTTTATACCAGATTGTGTCAACATATTACTATTAATAAAATAGAAGGAACTGCAACACATAGAAACAATATTTACTCCTATACTCTACCTCCATTATCACTCACACATAAAGAAGGAACTTGGGAGGTTGAACATGTGGCAGCAACTTTATAACTTATACTTCCTACGAATATCATACGAAGGATATCTGCCTTATTTTAGTACTCCTGACCTAAGGTCAAGAGGAAGATAATGGTGCCTAGTCATTTTCCTAGGAAGAAGAGTAAATCTAACAGTACAATTAACTTTAAAAAAAAATTATGAAAATTATTGGTCAATGTCAAGTATACCAAACTTTTAATTCATGAAAATTAATATATGATTACCACGAATTAATAATGTACATAGTCATAATATATATATATATATATATATATATATATATATATATATATATATATATATATATATATATATATATATTAAGTCAGATAGACAAAGGCGAACTTGGGTCCGGGAATTACAAACAAAGATATGACCTATATATATATATATATATATATATATATATATATATATATATATATATATATATATATATATATATATATATATATATATATATATATATTGTTAAAACCTGTCAGACAATTTGTGTAATGGGTAATGTTTACATGTATTCGCCGACACTACGTGCTTTGTTCGACTAGCCTGGGAAAACTTGGAAAGCTTGTGATTTCTTGGAATTTTCTACATAATCAGATATATTTATACGAGATGCTCATTACCCATTATGTACTCACGCGTTCAGTGGTTGTGAATGGAAGCGACAACCTATTGTCTGCTTCCACTCTGCACACATGACATTTACATGTTCAGTGTTAAACTTGAAATCTTATCATTCAGAATCTGCCTCTGTTAATCTGTATCACACTATAATAACAAGTGTCAGCATTTGTGATGCTCCAAGGTCCTGCCGGGAAGCGAGCATAAGAGTGAAAAATGAAAGTAGGGCCCGTGTCAGCTGTGGTTGTAGTTCAGTTGCCAATTCATTAATATAATTTTCTTCATTATTTAAGCAAATATACGAACATTTGGAAACTTCTCATGACCCTAAATAACGATGAATAGTTTATTATTATAAAAAAGTTACCTTTGGTTTGTTTAATATTTATCCTGACAGTGATACAGCCGAAAACAGATCCATCAATCACAATCACCGTTACATACAGCCTTCCTTTACCAAGTATTGCCAGATAAAATTGTGAGCACGCGACCCAGGATGGGGTCGGTGCATCTTTGGCTGACTGTACAGTACATTAGGAGGCAGCATGGCCGGTACTGCATTCGACCGCATTCACTTCCCCAAGTTGTAAACTTAGGTACCAATTTATAACTGGATAAACTGGAAGCACCCAGGGATGGAACCACAGTGCCTTGGAACAGGAGGCGAGCGATGTATCCACTCGACCGCAACATAAAAGGTATATTATAGGTGTATATCATTGCTCTCGCATATTTTAGCACTAAAAATGATACACGCTTTCTGTATATATGATGAATTGAAACACATTCGTTCTATTGCACAGAAACTTGGGTACCCTTCTGTGTTTGTTGATCGCTGTTTTAAAAGAGCTAAAAAATCCTTTCATTCCTCTCAAACCAGACAAGTTCCTACACTTAAGAATATTTTGACTCTGCCCTATCGTAATGAATTTGTCCCGTTAGTTCGGTCCCTCAAGCTTCTAAATATTAATGTTGTTTTCAAGTATGACTCAACCATTACCAATATGTTAACAAGGAATAGCCCAAGTTTGAATGTAAATGGAAGTGTTTATTGTATTCCATGTAGCAAATGTAATTGTAATTATGTAGGTCAGACAGGAAAAACACTGCAGCTCAGAATCAAACAACATAAGTATAATATCAGAACTGCATCTGAAAGCAGTGCCTTGTTCGTTCATGTTAGGAATAATAATCACCCCATTGCTTGGGATAAAAGCTTAGAAGTATTCAAATCATCTTGTGTCTCAGAAAGACTTCTGGTTGAAGCTAGTTTGATTAAGGAATTAAAATCAATAAACCTTAGTGATGGTCAGTTCAAAACTGATAATCTGTTACATAAATTTATTTGTCAGTGGCCCAAGGTTAAAAATGCTTTGAAAACCTTTGATCTAGATGTATGATAGTTATTTTGTGGGTCCCTTTTTTCTGACCTGACCTGGCTAGTCACGTCACCACCCTTCTCTTAAGCTCCTCTACGTGTGTGTTGGTGTGGGGATTAGTGGATGTCATCATTATGACCTGACCTCATGTTTTTAGGTCACCCTGTATATTTAAGCCTCTCTCTGTCCATGTAATCCAGTTGCCTCTGAAGATGTCTTGAATAAAGACGAAAGCTAGGTACTCCGTTGTTTCCATTTTCCCGTGTGATTTTATCAAGATATATATATATATATATATATATATATATATATATATATATATATATATATATATATATATATATATATATATATATATATATATTAGGATAGCATTTTTTTTATTGGTCTAAATCAATGGAAATTAATTCTTACATGGAAAATTTATTCTGATACATTTTTGTCTTCGTTTACTGTCGTTATATAGCAAAATTATACCTTATGTAAGTTAGGTTAGATTAGGTATGAAACTTTTTATTTACCGGTATATGTATCTTTATGATCGATTTGATCGTAAATAATAGTAAGCTGACAGAAGGTGTGTGCCACAAGGCTGACTGCAGATTTTCCTAGCTGCCATCATAGGGAATTTAAATCACGAGACGAAAGACTTGGTGTATTTTACCACACTGACCTCATTCAAAACTCCTTCCTCACACAACACCTGACGTAATCCACGAGGGGGGACAACTTTTTGGAGTTAGCCTTGACGACTGAAGAGGCAATGGTAGACGAGGTCCACGCCAGGGAAAAACTAACTCCGCCCAGCGACCATAACCACACAAAGGTGGAATACAGTCTTTGAAAGTCGGGATAGAGTAAGGGAGGAGGACTAATATAACGTTAACCATGATGGACAAGCTAAGGACGGGTCTGTATTCAGACAAATTATTCCAAATATTTATGGCGACAAAAGTAGAGGCGTTTAAAGCCTGGAAATAAAGGAAGAGAGGGAGTCAAACCAGGTAGATGAATCCCAAATGCAGGAAAGCCAGCAGAAGAAAATTCCACCTGAGGAAGAAATACCGGAGCAAAAACATCGCGTAAGCTATGTAGTATACAAAAGAGCCCTACAGGTGGCCAGTCAGGTATCCATATAATTTAAACGGCACTTCGAGATGAAATTAACCCAAACTGTTAAGAACGATCCCAAATATTTTTATGCATATCTCAGGTTGAGAATTAATTAAGAGAGATAGTAATTACAGAAGAGATCATGAAAAAGAAAATAGCCACCTTGAAATAATCAAAGCCCCTGGAGAGGACGGAACACAGACGAAGATGATACAGGAGCTGGCAAACGAAAATTGCACTTAACTAATAATCCTATTTGCCACAGAGTTCTATTTCTCACATTTTTTATCGTTTTGGGCTAATGTATTTCTAAATTTGTTACACACACACTTAAAGACCTTTGTTGTTGAAGCGCAGTGATATCATTATAATAATAATAAGAAGAAGAAGAACAACAACAGCCTATTCAAGATTCTATATCAAGAAACATTGTTAAGGAACTAGAAATCAGCCAACGTCACCCCTGTATACAAGAAGGGAAAAAAACCGAGCATAGTCTTGTCTACGTAGCTTAACATTTTTTATGGAAACAGTAAGAGAATACGTGCACCAAGGCTTACCAGTGGATCTGTTCCAGTGTACATGGACTTCATGACAAAGTTCCACGTCCACATCCAAGCACATGGCATCAAAGGTAAAATATTGAAGTGGATGAAAAAACTAGCTCGAGTACCACATGGATCTATCCTTTGGTCCACCATGTTCGTAATCTAAATTAAGCCACATGGTTAAGTTTGTGTTTGTCACGAAGATATTTGGAAAGGTAAGAAATGCAGATGTTATCGCAACCATGCTCAAAAATATATCTGCAAGAGCTGTTCAAATGGTCGCTAGACGGGCAAATACTTGTTAACTCGACGCGTAGGATACAACACCATTAATCAAAACTATTTATTGATAAAGTTGATAAGCACAAAGGTCTAGGCGTCATGATAGACCAATCACTGAAAGAAGTGCAACAGGCGGGAGCAGCAGGGAAAAACCCAACCGATATTTTGGAATTATAAGTTATACAGTTCTTTCACATACTCAAATAAGTAAATGTTCCTTCTTTTTTAAAAGCCTCGCATACATCCCCCTCTGGAATACTGTATAAAGGCATGGAAACCTCACCTCCAGAAAGATCTGACATCTCTAGAAAAAGTGCAACACAAAGCGACTAAGATGGCCCCTGAATTAAATAATCATTACATATGTAAATGAATGGTTTCATAAAAAACTAACCTCACTTAACCTAAAG